ATATAAACATATAAATAAGGTTAGCTAATTTTTGAAATCAAAATAAATGAAATCAGAAATGGAAAGATAAGAAAAAAAGAGATGCTAGTGATGCGATTGACTGAAGCAAGTGTTGAACACTTTGTCCTTAAGATAGATTTGCCTCGCATCAATGCTAATGATTTTTTGGCAACCATCTCCCAAGATACTATAATCACGTCAAGCCATAGGAGCACTCCAAATGGTTTAGACCAACGAATTCGAACGTAATTCTCTCTTTACCGAACTTATGATTTTATGCAAAGAAATCACTTTTGATGAAGTGTTTTATGCAACATAACTTGTAAAGAATGATATGGAATGATAGATAGAGGATGAGGGGTTGTGAATGAAGTGCTATGCCTAAACTCATCAACTTTTGCCAAAGATCGCACTATTCACCGTCGCTAGCACGTCACTCGAGAGAAAATAACAGAGACTCTGCTGCTAGCCTGTCGCTCGAGCGACAGTCCAGCGTCAAGCTAGCAACACACTTAGGCAAATTTTCTACAGTTTTCTCTATTTTCTTCTCAACTTTGGACCGCAATTTCTTATTCATCCGGAATTGGTTTTGAGATTCTAAATATACCACGATGACCTAATTGAATAGTAGAATTGGTTTTCCCAACATAAATACTAACCTTTATTTTGCCAGACCTACCTAGGTCCGCTTTCCTATTAATCACACTTAATTGGGGGTTCAACTGAAGAGTAGTGTAGGTTTACTTCATAACCACACTTGACTGGGGGTTCAACCTTCCTAGGGATAATAAAAAAAGGTTTGTGTTTTTCAAAAAGTTGAATCCCTTGTGCGTATTCAAACGTCTTTAAGTTGGAAAGCTTTCCAATTCAGAGGTTGTTCTAGCTCGAGATTTTCGATGCTGTTCAACTTGTGTAAAATGGAGTTTAACATCCCTAATGATGGTTGACCGAACGTTCCATTCTCCAAGGTGAAGTTATGCGTGTATAGTTGGGGTACCAATCCACCAAAGTTAGGGTGGGTATGATGTAACGTCCAAATCCCCCAAGTCTAGGTATAGACATTTATGTCATGCCTGGGTCTTCAATCCAGTAATCTAAGCCTCAAAGGGGTAGGCAATATGTTGTCCCAGGATTGCCGAGGCTGAGTCAGTATGGTTAGCCATGCCGAAGCTGAGGTGACCCCATGTTGAATACATACACATGATTATGCTCATCATTTAATGGTTTCGCGTGTTTTCAAGATGACAGCTGTGTTAAGACGATTTTACCACACGCCTGGTCGTTTAGCAATGAATGCCTAATGATGGCTGGCGATTGGGATGCGTGATGTATTGATACAAAATGGGGGACTGTTTGAATTCTACAGTCCAGATCTTTGGACAACTGTACACTTGTGATTATTTTGGCTTTCATCCGATGGTTGAGATTTGCTCATTTCCTTTATAAAAGCGAAAATCTTGCCATTTCAACGCTTTACCTTTATAAAAGTTATTGCGAATTTTCACCATCTTCCTAGAGTATTCTAGCAACCAGTTTGTTTTCGAACGGATTCTGAGAGTATCTTACTGACATTGGATAGATGGCCTCCAACGCTTCATTGCATGGTGAATGATTCATCCATGCAAAGGCTTCTTCTTTGACGCCTTGGCTGTCGAAGGAAGGCATGTGTGTCCGCCTCGAAATCCAAGCGAGGTGATCTCTGTAGGAATGTCAACCTCTCTTCCGAGGCACCAACGCTTCCTTGCATGGTGGATGGTTCATCCATGCAAATGCTTCTTCCTTAATGCTTTGGCTGTCCAAGGAAGGGATGTGTGTCCGCCTCGGAATCCAAGCGATGTGATCCCTGTGGGAATGTCAACCTNGTTCATCCATGCAAAAGCTTCTTCCTTGACGCCTTGGCTGTCGAAGGAAGGCATGTGTGTCTACCTCAGAATCAAAGCGAGGTGATCCCTGGGGGAATGTCAACATCTCTTTCGAAGCGCCAACGCTTCCTTGCATGGTGGATGGTTCATCAATGTAGAGGCTTCTTCCTTGATGCTTTGGTTGTCCAAGGAAGGCGTGTGTGTCCGCCTCGGAATCCAAGTGAGGTGATCCATGTGGGAATGTTAACCTCTCTTTCGAGGCGCCAATGCTTCCTTGTATGGTGGATGGTTCATTCATGCAAATGCTTCTTCCTTGAATCTTTGGCTGTCAAAGGAAGACATGTGTGTCCGCCTCGGAATCCAAGCAAGGTGATCCTTGTGGGAATGTCAACCTCTCTTCCGAGGCGCCAATGCTTTCTTGCATGGTGGATGGTTCATCCATGCAAAAACTTATTCCTTGACGCTTTGGATGTCCAAGGAAGGCATGTGTGTCCGCCTCAGAATCCAAGCAAGATTATCTCTATTTGGGAATGTTGACCTCTCATCCGAGGGGCCAACGCTTCCTTGTATGGTGGATGGTTCAT